GCATCCCATATTGGCACCGGTTCTAGTCCCAGCTGCTCCACTTCCAATCCAGCTCTCTGCTATGGCCTGGGAAAGCAGAAGATGGCCTAAGTGCTTGGGCCCTTGTACCCACGTGGGAGACCCAGCAGAAGTTCCTGGCCCCTGGCTTCTGATCAGCCCAGCTCCAGTCGTTGTGGCCAGTTGGGGAGTAAACCAGCAGATGGAAGATCTCTCCTTATTGTCTGTAACTCTACCTCTCAAAGAAATAAAATCTTTTTTTAAAAAATAAATTCAGCTAGCATTTGCTCATTGTCATTTTCCAATACAATCTGTTTTTCAGGTTTTCATTCACTCATAGATTTTGATTATTTCTGCAGCCACCCAACCAGATTACTAGATTCTTAAAAATTCATGTGATCTCTTATTTTTGTTCCCCCCTATATCATCTAGCATAACTGCCTCACACAGAAAAGTTTGCTATTACTAAACAATTCAAACACTCTTTACACCTATCTCCCCACTAGCTTCCTTCAGTTCTTTGAGGGCAAGGGGTATCTTGGTTCCCACTGTATACCTACAACTGTCGAAGTCCCTCAGTTAATAATGCTGAATAAATGTTGATCAGTCTCAGTCTGGGTCCCTCATATGTGAAAGCTCAACATTCTCTAATCCAATCATGTTCTGAACAAATTGGTCTGACCACACATCAAGAAATGTCTCGCTGTATTTGTCTAAGACTTTTTTCTTGCATATAAAAACAATCTACTCAAATCAAGCAGAAAAGAGAATTTATTAGCTCACAAAATGTGGCAGTCCAGGAGTAACACTAACTTTAGGCATGGCTACTGAATCCAAAGCTTCAAACAGCACTCAGTCTCATTCTTTCCATCTTCTGGCTTTGCTTTCCATTTATCTGCAAGCTCCAGGACTCCAGCAACTCCAGGATTCAAAGTGTGCCTCTTTCTCAACAGTTCAACAAAAATCTCAAAATTAGCATTCATGTGTGCTGACTGAAAAATGAACAACTGTGAACAATAAGTGTGGCTACAGAATAGACTATACTGACTGGCCATTAGCTAGGCTTGAACCATATATACACACTTTGTCAAGTGGGATTTATGTTAACTAAAAGGGTGGTTCCCCAGGAAAATTGGAATATTGCTATCAGACAAAAGAAAATGGATGACTGGCAAAACTGACTGATGTCCTCTATACTCTGCAACTTTATGCATGTAGCCCATCTGGCATGGTTTTCCTTCCTTTTTATGCCTACTTAAATTCAAGTTTTCTCTCTTCTGCTCTGAGAAGTCTTCCACAATTTCTTCTAAGAGTTTCCTTGTTCACTGGATCAAGTTACCCAGTCTCAAATAGTTTCCTTTTCTTAAAGGTCTATCTTTTTGAAAAAAAAAAAAAAAAAAAACACAGCAGGAGAAGCCTCTAGAAAATACTCCTTATAAACTCTAATCATGGGGCTGGCGCTATGGCACAGTGGGTTAAAGCCCTGGCCTGAAGCGCTGGCATCCCATATTGGCGCCAGTTCTAGTCCCGGCTGCTCCTCTTCTGATCTAGCTTTCTGTTATGGCCTGGGAAAGCAGTAGAAGATGGCCCAAGTGCTTGGGCCCCTGCACCCACGTGGGACCTGGAAGAAGCTCCTGGCTCCTGTCTTCAGATTGGCGCAGCCCCGCCGTTGCGGCCAATTGGGGAATGAACCAGAGGATGGAAGACCTCTCTCTCTGTCTCTACCTCTCTCTGTAGCTCTTTCAAATAAATAAAATAAATATTAAAAAAAAAAACAAACTGCAAAAAACCCCACAAAACTCTAATCATGTTCTATTATAAACAGTATGGGGGCCAGCAATGTGATGCAGCTGATGAGGCCACCGTTGGTGACACTGGCATCCTATACTGGAGCACCAGTTTGAAACTTGACTGCACCAATTTGGCTTTCTCCTAATATGTCTGGGTAGGTAGCAGATGACCCAAATTCTTGAGCCCCTGAGCCTGTGTGGGAGATCCAACTAGAGTTCCTAGTTCTTGGCTTCAGCATGGCCAAGTCCTGTCTATTGCAGCCATCTGAGCAGTGAACCAGCAGATGGGAGAACTCTTTCCCTCTCTCTCTCTCTCTCTGACACTCTGCCTTTCAAATAAATGAATAAACTTAAAAAAAAAAAAAAGTATGAGCTATACATATTGTTTCCTAGGACGTAAACTCTTGAAGGACAGTAGCTCTACTGTGTATATTTTTTTTATTATTTATTTGAGAGGTAGAGTTATAGACAGTGAGGGAGAGAGAGAGAAAGGGCCATCCCCACTGCCCTCCCAGGCCACAGCAGAGAGCTGGACTGGAAGAGGAGCAGCGGGACTAGAACCCGGCGCCCATATGGGATGCTGGCACTGCAGGCGGAGGATTAACCAAGTGAGCCACGGTGCCAGCCCCTCTACTATGTATATTTAATACATTACAAAGAAGCCTATGAGACAACTTTCGTATATATATATTCAAATAATTTTACTTGACTTTAAATTTTCTATAGTCTAAACAAAACACTTTAGCAGCTGTTACGTTGTCTTTGAATTCATCAAAACACCTGCTATAAAAGGAAGACTGTGGGTTTTGGAGTTACCTCAAACCGTGCTCAAATCCTAATATCCTCTCCTATCCTTTTAGCTATAGATCTTTGAGCAAATATTTGAGACTTCTAACCTTTAAAGGTTTCACTATTCATACAAACAGGAAGAGTAATAACCATTCATATTCATACATGGGGAGACTACATAGTATAATGCATACAACAATTGGCAGAACCTGGGCTGAAATTCTACCAGTAACACTGGGTATGCGACTTTCTCTGAATGATTCCTTACAAATGGGGATAAATTTATCTAATCCATGGTTGTTGTGTACATTTAACAAGAAAATATATTTTAAGACATAATAAACAGCAAGCAGTGAGCACTCAATAATTTGTTATCAGTATTATCTGTTTAAAACAATTCAGAGGGGCTGGTATTGTGGCCTAACAATTTAAGTTGCCTCCTGCAATGCCAGAATCCCAAATGAGTCTGGGCTGCTCCATTTCTGATCCTGCTCACTGTTGATGTGCCTGGGAAAGCAGCAGATGGTGGCTCAAGTCCTTGAGCCCCTGCACCCACTCAGAATACATGGATGAGGCTCCCCAACTGTTGTGGCCATTTGGGTAGTGAACCAGAGGATGGAAGATATCTCCTTCTCTGTCTCTCCCACCCCCTCTGTCTCTGTAACTCTGCCTTTCAAATAAATTTTTAAAAAAGTAAGTTTATGAAAAAAAATTACAGCCTGTGTTTCTGTACTAATTACCAAGGTCTATTAGAGTTCTTGATATTTCTACTATGAGAAATGAATCTAGTCTAATAGGGTATAAAATATCTTATACTCATCACTTTTTTTTTTTACACTTCTAACCAGATGAAATGTCAACTGACAAAAAACCTGCCTTATACAGAAACCACAGTATTAAAGTGTGGGTAATAGCCTATTTAAAAATTCAAAGCAGAGCAAGGAAAAACTTCCTTGGGATTACTTGTTATTCTTCATAAATGTCCTTGCATTAGTTAATAAAGTATTTCTTAATGGCGTAACATAGTGTTCCTAGAACTACTTAAAAGCAAGTAAGATAATAAGCTTGAAAGATTCTCTTGTTATCAACTTGTTCTTTAGCTTCAGGCTTAATGTGGTAATACTGAAATGACATAGCAATATGAAATCACCATGCCATATAGCCATCTCCTAAACAGAATCAGCAAATTTTGAGTATGAATGGCTATTTTAAATACTATCAGAATATAGACAAAAGACTCAAAATGTCAATTTTAATATTTTAGCTATATTATATTCTGTATAACTCTTTCCAGAAAGAGATTAAATAAACAAGCAGTTAGTCTCTTCCATTTTACACTACAGCAAAAGTTTCTTTGGAAAGAATAGTTTCTTGAAGTAGTTTAACAGTTCTGTTTATTTTTCCAACATGAGTGAATGGTATCCATACTTATCAATCCTTAATGAGTGCACAAACATAAGAAAGATGTCAAATGAAAGATTTTAAAATAAAATGGAATACATGACACAAAGCAACTGCACATTCCTTGACTGCAAAAACACTACAAAAATGAAATAACTGACTACATCACATTATGCAAACCTGTATAAGGAACTTCTTTTTCCTTGTATTGGTGCAAAACAGGAATAGATTCAGCTTTTAAACAACTCCCTGAGAGAACTGTACTTCAAATACGAGAGATATATTGAACACCTCAGTCACCAGATACTGTTCCATACCACTACGAAAATCAAGTAATACCTAATTCCTTATTCTCTTTCCTGTGTTCAAAAAAAAAAAAAAATGTATAAAGTAATGCTTTAACGTAATGCTTTAAAAGCAAGTACAGACTATTTATCTTTTCTAAATAATTTTCTTTCTTCCAACTTTTTTAAAGGACAGGAGTGGAAGAGGAAAGTAATGGGAGCCTGAAGATGGGCTCTGGTTATTTTCACAACTGTATTTTGGTAAGTCAACTAGATGAAGGCGTATAAGCTCACATTAATCTCTCTGGGAAAAACCCCAGCGCTGAGAGCCAGCCTCCCGGGACAATGTAGCGAGCAGGGACGTCCCTGTTACTCTTCTGGACTAACAGCGCGCTACATTCCCAAGCCTCAGCAAAGGTCAGACTGGCATCCCACATTCGAAAGGGCCTGCAGAAATCGGGGACGGGCAAGGGTCTACTTCACCTGGAGAGGAAATTCATTTTCTGTGACAAACTAAAAATCACCCATCTGGCCCCTCGGGTCCTCGTCCTCTGAGAGATGCTACTCAACGCCGCCACGCCCCAGGCTCGGGGTCTGGCCCCCAGGCCCGCAGGGCTCGATGGGCTGAGGCAGTCGGCTTCTCCACGTTACCTGGACGCCTGTTGCTGTGACCACCCCCGCATCCCCTCCCCCGGCGCTGGGGTCTCCCGTCTGCAGGGATGCCCTCCGCCCCGCTCACCCGCCCGGGTGGTGTCCGTCAGGTCGTGGTTGGCCGCTCCCCGGGGAAACTCCCTCAGTTTCCGGCCGCTCAGGCTCAGCACCCCGGTTACCGCCGCCTCCTCCAGCGCTCGATCGAGGGAACGGCTCCATGAACCCGGGCCAGGCCCAGGGGCTGCCCCGGAGCTTGGACCGCAGTTAACAGCGGGGAGGTTACCTCCCGACGCTGCTGGGCCAGAGTACTCAGCAGCGGCTGCCACTGCGACCAAGCCCGCGGCCGCCATTTCCCAGCCGACAACTCGCCAGCCCGCCGACTCTGCGCATGCGCGGACAGGCTGCTGGGTGGGCGGGGAAAGGGGCTCCCAGACCCCGGACGGTTCCCTTGATGGGCAGAGCCGCGGTGCCCCTCTGCTTGGCCAGGCGCTTGCCCCCGCCCACACCGAGGTTTTCTAGGGAAATCAAAACGGAACTCAGAAGCACGGAGCAGCCCGGTACTCTCAGCTTCCAGTAACATTTCTGAAGTGCTTCTACAAATACGTCTTTTGGAATACGCTCTAAAACGTTTCCAACGTGTAATTGTGTTACCAGAAGATCTAAATCGTTGTGGATGGATTAATATTACTGCTTGAGGGGGAAAATAATACATGATTTTCTCCAGACTTCCTAATTCTTATGGAAAGGGTTATATATTTGCCACATCCCCTCCGTTTTTATAAATAGCTCTACTTAAGACAAATATTTAAAGTACTTGTTGTTTAGGCTAAACAGAATTGTTGAATAAAGCAGGAGGAATGGTATTAAAGTCTAAAATTCTGGTCTGGAAAAAAAATTGAGGAAAATGATCTAACAGTTATTTAAATGTGGAAATTACAGATAGAACCGAAGAAATGGTCAAAATTAAAGCCATCGACTGGAAAATACTTCATTTTAAACCAATTAGATCTATGCTGTAATCTCTAGCATATTCTTCAGTCTTTTATATTTAAGTCATTCCTATACAAGGTAAATCCCATCCACAATTAATTAGAATTTACTGAGGGAACAGAAGCAGCTGTCGGATAAAATGCTCTCCAGAAGATAATCTGACTGTGGAGTCCCAGTAAGTCAACTAGAGGATAACTAACCAGAAGGGCTAAGTAGGGTGGTGAAAAGTATCTAAGATTTCAGAAAAAGGAATCATCATGGATAAGACTTTTAATGAAGAATTATGGATCCAGATTATATCCCAGATTAGGAGGCTCAGCATAAACACATCCTGGTATGATTCATGATACATGTGAAGGGCATTTAAGTGACAAGTTCATGTTCCAGAGAGCAAAGGAAAATAAGGTTGGAGATATCCTACCCATAAAGGCCAATTTGCCAATGGAACCTTGATTAGCACTGCTTGAGTTTCTAAATGCAAACAGCTGTGAAAATGTTCCATTTTAGTGCCAAAGCTGATTAGTAACAGTGACCCAGACACTTGTTTTATGAACTCTACTACATTCTAGTTTCTTCAGCAGTTTCACAAAAATAATCAGTATCTGTTATGAGCACAGGTCACTGCAAATGCAGGTGATATATTTGTCATCTCTGGCAAACATTTATCCAGTGCCTGTATCATTTACTCTGGTCTTCTTAAAATTTTGTTCATCCTAGAAAAATATTTCACATTCTTTAGGAATTTCAATTACACTGTCTATTCACACATTCCCTATTACTAAGGAATTCTCACTCTACTTCCACAATCTTCTCCCATAAAGTAGGTTAACATGAGAAATCCAGGAAAGGGAGATTTTGTGGGGGAGTTCACCAGTCTAGTGATGAAAAAAAATGAGAAGACAGTTGAAAAAAGGCTGTAAACAAATGAGCTATAAGGATCTCTCACTCTACTACTGCTTTGTGGTCTGGGAGCTGAAGCTGAAAAAATAGGCAGTGGGGGTTTTTCAGTTAGGGATTGATGTAGTGAACTTCCCTGCTTCTTCCTGTTTAATTTAAAGATTGAAGTTAACTCGTTCAACACTGGGGACAAAAGCTTCACTCTCTTCAGTATCTCTTGGCAGCTTTACATCTCACTGTATCATGCAGAAATAAAGTTCTTCACCCTCTTCTATAAATATATAAGACTATACTTTAAAGGGACCAGCACCACAGCACAGTAGGTTAATCCTATATGGGCGCCAGTTCTAGTCCCGGTTGCTCCTCTGCTGTGGCCCGGAAAGGCAGTGGAGGATGGCCCAAGTGCTTGGGCCCTGCACCCGCATGGGAGACCAGGAGGAAGTACCTGGCTCCTGGCTTCGGATCGGCATAGCTCCAGCCGTTACGGCCATTTGAGGAGTGAACCAACAGAAGGAAGACCTTTCTCTCTGTGTCTCTCACTGTCTGTAACTCTCTCAAATAAACAAAATCTTTAAAAAATAAAAAAAAGACTACACTTTTAAAAACACGAAGAATTAAAATCATGGTAAACCTCATTCTCTTCCAATGTATGGTACAAAAACTGACTTGTTGAATACATTCACATTCAATGGTTAGTTTTTTCTGTTCTTACTTTTAAGAAGCAGCATAAATAACAGACTTAGGAAAATGGAAATGTAGGAGCCGGCGCTGTAGTGTAGCAGGTAAAGCCGCCACCCGCAGTGCCGACATACCATATGGGAGCCGGTTGGAGTCCTGGCTGCTCCACTTCCAATCCAGCTCTCTGCTGTGGCCTGGGATAGCAGTATAAGACAGCCCAAGTCTTTGGGCCCCTGCACCCACATGGGAGACCTGGAGGAAGCTCCAGGTTCCCCGCTTCGGATCAGCCCAGCTCCAGCCGTTGCAGTCAATTGGGGAGTGAACCAGCGGATGGAAGACCTTCTCTGCCTCTCTGTAACTTGGACTTTCAAGTAAAGTAAATAAATCTTTTTAAAAAAAAGAAAATGGAAATGTAAGAAGTGTAAATTTCAAACACACACACACACACACACAAACAGGAAACAGCTTCCTATTCATCTTTAAACACTGGCATACCTCATCTGAACACAGAACAAGAAATTTCTGTCAGAATGCTTGCTTTTACCAAGCTTTTTGTGGGACAGGTTTCAAGTAGAACATAAACTGTGTTGGCAGAGGGAAAAAAAGATTAGAAGTCTACAATTTCCAAGCAAATCTTTATATCCCTATAGAAGGTCCAGACTAGTTCAAAATTCTTATAAATGCAAGAGGTTTACTGAAGTTATTATTTTTAAAAAGAGTAACTCCAAACTGATCTAAGAACTTTCTGTAAAGAGAAGCTTAAATCACATGGTTTTTTTTGTTTGTGTTTTTTTTTTTTTACAGTGACAAAATATGATGTAATTCTGATGAAAGCTGTAAAGGTCTATTGACCAGAAATGAAATCATTTTACTATTGCCTGCATTTGGAATGCATGTTATGCATTCTCTGTAACGCCAACTGAGTTGTTTTTTTTTCCTCTTACCTCATGTGGTAAAAATAATCAGCACAAAAATTACACTGAAACTATATATACTGGATGAATTACAAATCCATTGACAGCAATATAGCGATATTCTTTTCTAACAAAAACTAAACATTGGGGCACAAAGACCAATGTTTCCTCAAACACAGAAGTATTTTATGATTTGTTTATAATTAAAATTGTAGGGAAAAGTTTTGTCTGTTAAAATACATCATGTCTAATTATGAACATGGCCTTTTCTTTTTGACAGGGAGAGTGGATAGTGAGAGAGAGAGACAGAGAGAAAGGTCTTCCTTTTTCCGTTGGTTCACCCCCCAATGACCGCTGTGGCCGGCGCAGTGCGCTGATCCAAAGCCAGGAGCCAGGTGCTTCCCCTCCCTGGTCTCCCATGGGGTGCAGGGCCCAAGCACTTGGGCCATCCTCCACTGCACTCCCTGGCCACAGCAGAGAGCTGGCCTGGAAGAGGGGCAACCGGGACAGAATCCGACGCCCCAACCGGGACTAGGACCTGGTGTGCCGGCGCCGCAGGCGGAGGATTAGCCTATTGAACTGCAGGGCCGGCCCGAACTTGGCCTTTTCTGATAGGTCTACCTAACCTGAATACCAAAGTCATGAAATTTGAATCACTAGAAGAGATTTATCGAACATGCTCTGAACACTAAAGTTTGGTTATTACCAATTCTTAGGTAGCTGACAAGTCATGCATTATTCCAGTACTTTCTGTGAGTGTTCAACTGAAAAAAGCTGTTTATTATCAATTGTCAATTAGATCTGAGTTCAAAAATGATTCTGCCACACACAGGTGAAAATGTTGAGCCCTGTTTTACTAAGATGTAAAAAGAGGGGTTAAATTGAATGACCTTTAAAGGATCATCTAGCCTAATATTCTACACTGTATACCTTAATAAATTTCTTTCTAAAATTCCTACTGGCTAGCTCATGTTGGAGCATATGATCAAAAAGCAATTAGAGGGATGACAATATAAACATCTAGATTAATTTACCATTCAGCTGGTGGGTAACTTTCTAGACTTTAAAAGTTATAATCACTTAATATTAAGTTCTTTGTAGCACAGAAGAATCTAAAAACCACATTTAATCTTTATAGCTAAGAATAAATCATGTGAAACCTGTAACATTTTATTTGTTAAAAATGAACAGCTTCAGAATAGATCTAAATGTAACTTTTCAAAAAACACCAAAAAGTACAGTGTAAAGCACCTCCTCATTAAATACAAACTTTCATTTTGTGATGCACTGCATCAATGTTTAGCATACACCTTGATGCAAAGGAAATTTTAAGTTGCATCCTGTTTTAAAAAAATTAAATCAACAAGGATGACTACAACCACATTCCAAGGGAAATTTTCCTCCAACAAAGCATATTGTTTTGCTTATATACAACATGTTAGCACTCAATTTTTAATTGTACCAAAGGCAAAATTTTATACTTATAAGGAAAATTAAATTACAGATGAGTGAAGAGCAAAAGTTTAATATTCCAAAGACACTGTTATTTGATATACTTTATGCTCAATATCTGGAGCAATTTTTAACATTTCCCCCAAAATGGCATCAATAATAGCTCGATACAGTATTTAAAATAACAGGAAAATGAAAAATCTTTTTATACTGTATTTTCACAAACTGTTCTAAAGATAGCAAACTCATGCTCAGTTGTTTTTCCTTTGCTTTAAATTAGGTAACCAGTAATTCTAAACCAATCCAAAATGTATTGTCCCTGGATTAAATACAAGCATCCATATTTGCAAAAATGCTTTGCCTCAAATCCCTGGCCTTTATGAAAAGCATCAAATAGCTAAAGAGAGACTAGAGCTTATTTTCAAATTCTGTGACTGGCTTCCAGTAATCCCTTATCAGTAGAAGTACTGTCAAAACATCAGATATTAAGGATCAGATTTAATTCTTTGGTATAAGCATGAAACTGTTAGTTTTCCATGGCTAGCATAAACCAATAAGTAACACAAGAAGTATGAGACAACAATGAAGTCTAAGCCATAACTGTTTTGCTTTATAGGAAAAGTCAACACTAATTATATACTCCAGAGAAACTAACACCTCCTTAGAGGTTTAACATTATACCAAACCAAAAGGTCAAGTTTCAAATGACCAAAGTTGTAACTTTTTGCCAGAATATTTTGCTGCATTTTGGCATTTTAATTCAGAGTATATAACTGTCCAGAGACTCTTAGCACTATCTTGGCACAACAGACTAACTCCTTCCACCCCTCCAGAAGCTGGAAAAAAACTTTTCTCCCCACAAATGCTTGAACTTTATATAAGAAGTCAGAATGAAATCAGTGGTTACAATGTAATTATAATTTTGCATTTTTTTCTTTGTGACACATTTTTTGAATTGTAAATTAATTAATTTAGCAAGCTTTAAAAGCTTTCAAATTTTAATTTCTCAAATAAAAGTCTAGGACTTTGTGGCTAACTTTATCATCAAATATCTAGGGGACTCAGTCCATCTGAATAATTCTAACTCTCCTAAATAATATTTAAAGAATTCTTTGTGGACACTAGACTCAAGACTACACTAAGCCAACAGTATAGTATATCTATTACCTGGATTTTGAGATTTTTCACCATAGTTATCTTTCAACTTGCTGCTACTTCTCATTCTTTCTTCATCTACTACATATGAACTATGAAAATATTACATCAGACTCTCTCTTCCAAGGCCCTATGAAGCTAACTTTCTAATTATGCATCTGTAGCCTTTAAACACCAATATTTTAAACTGAGACTAATGCCAAGAGTCCCATTTCTCATTAAAAGTTCAGCACTGAAGACTTAAAATTCTGGGGAGTTAACCTAGTACTATCTGAAAAATGAGCAAAGTTCCAGATACTCCTATAAATCTTAAAATTCAAAAATCGAATTCAAATATTTTCCTCTTAAGGAAGAAGAGACAACTGTACTTACTACATCAACACTATTAAAGGGTAAATGATAGCAACAAAGAGACTACTTATATTTCTGAAGACTAAGATTTACCATGGGAAAGCCTAAAAAATGGGCAAAGGTGATGAGATCCTAAATACCACTTTCATAAAAATAGTCAATTTTGATCTTTCTGTCTTCCTTCTGCTGCATGAGGAACCAAAGAAGTGAACAAAGACTTGTTCTTTCTAGGCCAACCATGAAATCTTTAAGAACAGATGGATATATTCCCTGTTATTCTTTCTGGGCATTATTTTATACATGTTTAAAAAAAACCTAAAAAATAAAAATAAAAGTTATTTAATCTTCTGAATTTTCTGAAGTAAGTTTCTCGAACTTCTGTAATGAACTCTTCAAGCAATTCAACTTTTCAAACACAGTCATCACTCCACAGTTCCTTTGACACGGGATCTATCCCACAGTTACAAAGCGGCTTCCTCCTTTGTTGAACGTGAGGGTGGCTCTTTGTTCCTTCAGGATTCCAAACCGCTCATTCAAGGTCATCCCTGTCTATAGAGAGAAAAAAAAATTAATAACTGGACTGAAAGCCATATTTATTTTGGAGCAATTATGTGATCTTATGATTAATTCTAACAATGGATAGTATTTCCCAACTATTTTATGACCTCATTTAATCCTAACAAAAACCATATGAAAAAGGTGAAGTTAGAGAACTTAATTAATGTGCATAATAGCAGCTCCAAAATTTAAATTAGGAAGTCTGACTCAGAATTCCTATCTCTTAACCACTATACTAATTATATACTATAAAAAACATACACTGGGGCTGACGCTGTGGTGTAGTTGGTAAAACTGCCATTTGTAGTGCCAGCATCCCATATGGGCGCCAGTTCATGTCCCAGCTGCTCCTCTTCCAATCCAGCTCTCTGCTATGGCCTGGGAAAGCAGTGGAAGACGGCCCAACTCAGTGGGTCCCTGCATCCATGTGGAAGACCCTGAAGAAACTCCTGGATCCTGGATCTGAAGCCATTTAGGGAGTGAACCAGCGAATGGAAGACTGTTCTATATCTCCCCCTCTCTTTCTAACTCTATGTCTCATGTCACACACACACACACAATGTCTGTAATACATACAAAGATGCATCTATTTGAATTTATTTTTTCAGGTTCTACAAACACTGCCACCAACTCTAGTGATGCCTCTGATAAAAGTTATGTGGACTTGTGAATATTCTGAAACAAATTTTCTTGAATTTTTCTGAATTCACCATAGAAATTCAATGGAACTACAGAGTTACAATGACTCTAATCAGCACTCTGATAAGGCATGCAGGGGTCCCACGTGGCAGTTTAATCTGCTGTGACACAATGTATGCCCCCAGTCGCAGATTCTGATTTCAAAGGATTAAGCATCTGACAAAATCCAATACCCACTCATAATAAAAATTCTCAGCAAACTAAGAATAGAAGGGAGCTCTTTTGGGGCTGGTGCTGTGGCGTAGCAGGTAAAACCGCTGCCTGCAGTGCCGACATCCCCTATGGGTGCCGGTTCGAGTCCCGGCTGCTCCACTTCCAATCCAGCTCTGCTATAGCCTGGGAAAGCAGTATAAGATGGCCCAAGTCCTTGGGCCCCTGCACCTGCATGGGAGACCCAAAAGAAGCTCCTGGTTTCGGATCGGTGCAGCTCTGGCTGTTGTGGCCAATTGGGAAGCAAACCAGCAGATGGAAGCCCTCTCTCACTCTCTGCCTATCCTCTCTCTGTGTAACTCTGACCTTCAAATAAAATAAATAAATCTTTAAAATATATTAAAAAAAACGAAGGGAGCTCCCTTTATCTGATAAAAGGAATCTTTGAAAAATCTATAGTTAATATCATACTTAATGGTCAAACATTTAATGCTTTCTCCTCAGGCTTTAGAACAAGACAAGTACACATGCTCTCACAACTTCTGCTCAACACTGTGCTATAGGCCCCAGCCAATGTATAAACTCAAAAAAAGAGAAAGGATTTGAAGGTTGGAAAAGAATAGAGAACGACCCAGTTGTTTACATAGAAAATCCTAGGGAATCTAAAAATTTACCACAAATTTAAATTTAGGAAGATCATAGGATACACGGTTATTGTCAAAACTATAGTGAACTTTGCATCTACTTGAATGGCTATAAATGAGATAATAACAAATGGTGGCAAGGATGTGCAGAAATTCAGAACTTTCATGTGTGTTCCATGAATGTTAAACTGTCTGGCAGTTCTTAAAAGGGTTAAACAGAGTTGCCACATGACCTAGTAAATCTTGCTGTAGGTATTTACCAAAGACAAATGAAAACATACGCTCACATGTACACAAATAAAAGAACAGAAACAACCCAAATGTTCATTAATCTGTGAATGATTTAAAAAGATGTGGTATATACATATGATAAATACTACTTAACAATAAAAATGAAATACTGATATAATACGATGAACCTTGAAAATATGTTAAGAAGCTAGTCATTAAAATTAAATATTATAATACCCAATTTATATATGCAATGTCAAGACAGTAAGATTAGTTGTTGTCTGAGTTTGGGAGGGGGTGGCTAGAACACCCTGTTCAGATGCAAGTGTTCTGCCTAGCTGTTGGGACACCTCCCTTCTCATGCTGCAATGTTTGAATTTGTATCCTGACTCTGCTCCTGCTAATGTGCATCCTGGTACACAGCAGGTGATGATAGCTCAAATAGTTGAGTCCTTACAGTCCATGTAGAAGACCTGGACTGAATTCCTGGCTCTTGACTTTGACCTGGCCAAGCACTTACAGGCACTTGGGGAGCAAACTAGTGTGGAGGGCATACTGTCTGTGTGTCTTTCTGATAAATAAACTAAAAATAAAAGTATGAAAAAAAATGGAATTAAAAATAAACTTCAGGCCAGCGCCGCAGCTCAATAGGCTAATCCTCCACCTAGCGGTGCCGGCACACCGGGTTCTAGTCCCAGTCGGGGCGCCGGATTCTGTCCCGGTTGCCCCTCTTCCAGGCCAGCTCTCTGCTGTGGCCCGGGAGTGCAGTGGAGGATGGCCCAAGTGCTTGGGCCCTGTACCCCATGGGAGACCAGGAGAAGCACCTGGCTCCTGCCTTCGGATCAGTGCGGTGCGCTGGCCACAGCGCGCTGGCTGCGGCGGCCATTGAAGGGTAAACCAACGGAAAAAGGAAGACCTTTCTCTCTTTCTCTCTCTCACTATCCACTCTGCCTGTCAAAAAAAACTTTAAAAAAAAACACTAATTCATCACATAACAACTGTTTTTTTAATTAAAATATTCTCAGCAAAGAAAGGAAAAAAACATTTTTTTACCTGTTTTCCAACACTGTTTATGTCAAATTGTAGGGGGACACCCTTAGGAATTTTCTTTACATCAGATTGCTCTCGTTTTGTCAAGAATGAGGGTACAGCAGTACGAGTTAATCGTGGTTTCTGGGTTCTATTGGAAAAAAATATCAGACCAGCTTTACAATGAAAATAAGAAAAATAAATCATTGGTATTTAAGGTATCTTGATTTGTACACATACTCAAATACATTAGAGCTATTTTACTGTGTTCTCAAAAAAGGTACTTGGCTCTTAACTGACTACACTGGAGACAAAAATGTGAAACTGTTCACAGTGTGTCTCCTTAAGTAGAACTGCAAATTTCTCAACAATTTGGAATGACTGGTGATTTCCAAGTCTCTTCTACTGAAATAAAGCAACTGCCTTATATATATAAAATATATATTTTATATATATATATAATAAATACCTGCCTTATATTATTTTCATTTCAGTCATTAAGATGGCTTGACAGATCAGATACTACATATAGCTAAAAAGTTTAGAATGCAGTAAATATAATAAAATTATTAACTAAATTAAACTCATGTAGTTAAACGAATATAACATGAAGCCTTCAAAAGAGAAGATCTGTCTGAAAGTCAAGATGTCCAAAATATACCAGGGGAAGGGGAAGAAAGGTATAATAAGTATATGTAATATCTCATTTATTATCATATATACTTTAAAATGTACACATTTGTTATACATACACAGAGTTTTTTAAAATATTGCTAAAAACACTTATTTAGGAGCGTATAACCAGTAATCAAGGAAGCTTTTACTTTTAACTGTACACTATATGTGTCCATTTTATATTACAAGCATTACTTGTATCTTAGTTTATCCTAACTTGGATTTCATACTGTGAACAAAATTCCAATAATAATATTCTATTATCTCACACACTTAAAGTTTAAAATCTTCACAGAAAGAAGCAACTTACACTGGGCATTGCACTGCTCCAGGATTGTCAATAGATACAGTCAAAATTCCCCCGTTAGTGGTAGAAGTCCGCCATCTAATTTAAAAGAACACAAAAAATTTCACTGAAATAGAAGTTTCTAAACCCTATAGCATGTTACACACACAAAAAAATATATATAAAAAGTAGCCATTACTTATACTTAGCTTTCGAAATATGGGAATACCTAGACCCTACCATGATATAAATGAATCAGAATCAGCATCTTGGATATATGAACTTGGGCACCTGAATTTACTTATTTTTCACTGAAATAAATATATGCTCATTTTTGAAAAAAAAAATCAGATAATACAGAAGAGCTTCTAATAAAAAGCAGTTCTCTCATGCCACTCTTCTCCTTCCTAGTCCCCTCTTCCCCAGAGGCAGTACTTTTAACCTTTCCTATTTTAACTACTTGCTGGTTACTTCAGTTCACTAACCACTGATATGGTAAAATCTTGCTATGATAAACAACGGTTTAATTCAGCACACTATATTCTAGCTTCCTTTCCTATCCTCTAACTATTTTGATGGCTACATCACTATTTTACTTTCAATTATAACTGTAAATACTTAAATCTCCATTTCTCTTGCCCCCCCAACACCTCATATGAGAAAATAACATTATCTCTATTCTTTCTTCGTCTTCTACTTTGTACCTCCCTCTTTTTGTCAGATCTATCTTTATACTTATATCAATCAAAAGTTGACTTTTATATTATTCTGTTCCCAAATTAACCATTTTGTGCTGTCTACAAATCCAGTCTCGTAGTTCAAAACAAATAAACAGCATTTACACAATAACAATAATGTAAATATTATTCACTGCAGAAGCAAACAAGCTATGATTCAATTATCTTCCTTATTGTTTTCAGTTTTATTACCCTTAGGCTGAAGAACGGGGTCAGTATCAGGTTCAAATAGTTTTCTTTTTTACACTCAGACTGCTCAAAATTACACCCCATTATAGTTTCAGCATCATATCTGGACCATGTTTTATTTTCAAAAAAATAGTCATAGTTTTAAATAGTTAAATCTCAAAACCTGACCATACTGATGGAATTAGAATGTTACAACTCACAGTTAACAGATCAAAAGCAGATTTTTGAAAAACTTTATTAGTGTGAGGGGTGAAAAAAGATTATGTGAAAAGGATAAACTCTACTGTTACTAAAATTCTACAAATTTTCTAAAAGCTCTACTGGGTCTTTCTATTCATTCCCTAAATAGATTAATTTATATTAAAAAAAGCAACAAAAAATAACAGTTTATGCTAAAATTGTTACAACACTGAATGCAAAAAGTCAAAAGGTCTTTGGGGAAAAAAAAAAAAAAACAGAATTTATTTACTTCATGACAAATTTTATTTTGGGTCTCAATTTCTTTTAGACTGGGACACAGTAATCTGCGTAGCCAGTATTCTGGAAGTTCTGAAATGACATCTTTAAAAACAAATTGAAACTTACTGACGAGTTCTCTTTGCTACTACATCGTCTAGCAGTTGTTCTGTGTTCAACTGGGCCTGAACCTGAAGGAAAAAAAAAGTAGTAGATCCCATAGAAAGCAGAAGATTTGAATCTGAAGAGCCATCCTGCACTTCACTTTATAACCCACTGTGACCTGTGCATAAGTAAAGGAGAAGGTCCTGTGCTAGTCTGACAACACTTCTTTGTTGGCGTTCCTGTATTAGAACAAGTAGCAAGGAGAGCTTAACCAGCATTTTTAAGATGCCCGCATCCAAAATTAGGACCTAGGTTCAATCTGTCCCACAAATGTAGCCCATGGAGGGCAGCGACGATGGATCCAGAAATTGGGTTCCTGCTTCCCACACCGGCTATCTGGATTACAATCCTGGTTCCTAGATCCAGACTCAGCCCAGTCCTAGCTATTGCAGACATGTGTAGAATTGGAACTCTGTCTTTCTCTGCCTCTCAAAAAAAAAAAAAAAAAAAAGGCAAATATAGCTTATCACTAAATAACAAATTCAATTTAGAAAAAAATAGAAAAAATATAACAAGAAGAACTAATCTAATTTTCTCCATATCCCAAATCTAATCTCTACCTCAACCATGGGTCATGTTTATGATTGAGGATTACTAAAGGTTGCTGTTCAGGATTTTCTTTGGGTAAAATGGAAGCATCACCAAGGTTTTTTTTTTTTTTTAATACCTTCAGGCCTCTTCTGAAAAGGAAAGTTGCCTGACGAGTATCTTTCTGATGGCTTAATTTATTTCCACTCCTGGTAAAATTAGCTGGAATGTTACTTCTGCAACAAAACACATATACCATAAATAATCTGATCTTCTTAATTACTTTCAAACATCTTGAGAAAAAATAAGCAAAATAATTATATCCATGGGCTGAAAACCTGAGGTACACATAGAGACTGAATTATTTCCTTATTTATACCAAGAATTATTAAGATTTGACTTACAAAAATGTCTCCTTCTGCAGCAAATCATGTAACAAATGGTTAATTTTGAATTGGTTTATCTACCAAATATTCAACTTCAAATATCCCACAAAAATCAATTTTAAATGCTATTATCTAAATTTGGTATAAAACATAAATTTAGAATTTACACAAGCAGTACTCAAAAATTACACCCAGGCACATCATAGTCAAACTGAAAACCAAAAAATAAAGACTTGAAAAATATTTCTGGGGCTAGTGCTGTGGCATAGCGGGTAAAGCTGCTGCCTGCAGTGCTGGCATCCTATATGGGTGCCGGTTCAAGTCTCAGCTGCTCCACTTCCAATCCAGCTCTCTGTTATGGCCTGGGAAAGCAGATGGCCCAAATCTTTGAGCCCCCGCACCCATGTGGGAGACCTAGAAGAAACTCCTGGCTCCTGGCTTCAGATCAGCGCCATTGTAGCCATCTGGGGAGTGAACCAGATGCCTTGCCTCTCTATGTGTATCTCTTTCAAATAAATAAATAAATCTTTAAAAATATATAATTTCCTTTTCCAGTTTACTCATCCTTCCTCACTCAGAAACCTTTCTGCATGAATATAAACCAAACATTCTTCTACTTCTTGTTCTTTCATACACAGAACATACTCTTAATAATCGGACTTGACTTTCACCATTTCCTGTTTTCTAAAAGAAATTGAGTATGAGAAAACTAAATTTCATAAACAAGTGCCTAATAGGTTACCTAATCTTACCTCCATTTCGCAGAGGTTCAAATGCAAACTTTCTCTAGCTAACTCAATTAATATATAAGCCTCATGTAAACAAGTTCTTACATGAGAAATCTTTTCAGAAAACGTACTACCAAATGATCCTCAAAAAGTAAAACTGCAATTACAGCGATTTCATTTTTTTAAAGAGTTATTTATTTATTTGAGAGGCAGAGGCAGAGAGAGGGAGAGAAATCTTCCATCCGCTGGTTCACTCCCCAGATGGCCACAACAGCCAGAGCTGTGCTGATCCAAAGCCAGGAACCAGGAGCTTCTTAAGAGCCTCCCAGGTGGGTGCAGGGGCCCAAGGACTTGGGCCAACTTTCACTGCTCTCCCAGGCCACAGCAGAGAGCTGGATTGGAACTGAAGCAGCTGGGACTCGAATGGCACCCTTATGGAATGCCAGCACTGCAGGTGGTGGCTTTACCTGATATACCACAGTGCCAGCCTCTCGATTTCATTTATAGAAAAATCTCATTCCAAGTTTTGCTATGAATTCTCTTCTAAAGAAAGGCACTTAAAACCCAAAATAGGGAACTTTACAGCTCATCAGTTTCCTTTCTATTTTATCATTACAGAAAACAAAAGGCCAGGGGCCTGCACTGTGCTACAGCAGGTTAAACTGCTGCCTTCGACCCAGCATCCCCTATGAGTTCTGGTTTAAGTATCAATGCTCCACTTTTTTTTTTTTTTTTTTTTAAGATTTATTTATTTGAAAGTCAGAGTTACACAGAGGAGAGGCAGAGAGAGAGAGAGGTCTTCCATCCGCTGGTTCACTCCCCAAATGGCCTCAATGGCCGGAGCTGCGCCTATCCGAAGCCAGGAGCCAGGAGCTTCTTCTGGGTCTCACACGGGTGCAGGAGCCCAAGGACTTGTGCCATCTTCTACTGCTTTCCCAGGCCATACAGAGAGCTGGATTGCAAGTGGAGCAGCCGGGTCTCAAACTAGCACCCATTTGGGATGCCGGCATTGCAGGCCAGGGCGTTAACCTGCTGCACCACAGCACCAGCCCCAAGTGCTCCACTTCTGATCCAGCTCCCTGCTAAAGGGCCTGGGAAAGCAGCAGCAGACAGCCCAAGCACGTGGGCCCCTGTCACCCATTTGGGAGAGCCAGCTGGAGTTCTGGACTCCTGGCTTCAGCCTGGCCCAGCCCTTGCTACTGCCACTCTTTGGGGAATGAATCAGTGGATAGAAAACATCTGTCTCCCTGTTTCTTCCTCTCTGTTAACTCTGCCTTTCAAATATAATAAATCTTAGGAAAAAAAAAAAAAACACCTCAGAATACCAGTAACAAGATTATCTTGAGGATTCTGCTATGATTTTTAAGTAGAATAAAAATAATTTCAGCTTAAGAAGCATTCATGGAGCAGGTATTGAATGTGCTGGTTAAACAGCCCACATCCCTTATCAGAGTTTCTAATTCCTGGTTTAGGCTTCTGACTCCAACTTCCTACCTATGCAGACCCCTGGCAGGCAGCAGTGACTGCTCAAATGATTAGGTTCCTGGCTCCCAGCTTCAGTCTTGGTCCAACTTCAGCCCAACACTGGCTGTTGCTGGCATTTGGGGAGTGAACCAAGCAGATGGGAGCTGTCTGTCTTCTGTCTCTCCCCCTAGTCTTTGCCTCTTAAATACATAAACAAACAAGAAGCACTCATGTAGAATACTTTCTTTCTAGTTTGCCTTTTCCACATAGCCTATATTATCATTTAGTATTCTAGCAAGAGCCAAAGAATAATAAATTCACCTTTCAGGATTTCCAATTTTGAATAATTATATCAGGATTTTTACTAAAATGACCAGCTTTTGCAATTTTACCCTATATGTTAAGAAATGTAAAGAAGCAGAGTGATGCCTATTACTGAATGCTTCCATATTGGACGTTCAGGTATATATATACATCCGAAGTATCTCTTAAAAATGAGATAACTAGAAGAATCATTGCAAATCCATTCTTCTGAACACCTATAGCAAGAAGTGCTTATTTATGCACCATGACACATTATTACCTTATATTTGGGTACTTACTTTCTGTTTAACTGGTTAGGTCTCTTGAGAACTGCAACGGGTTTCCTCTGCATTTCATTTTGTCTCAGAAGGTTTGCCTTCCTTTTTAACACCGGAAAATATCGTTCTATATTCTTTTAGGAGGCAAGAAACTATGTTAGTCATATTATTTTTTGCTATATATCCTACTATGATAAACATTTCTGTTACAGTGTGAATAGGGATTGACAATTATTTAAGTGTGTAGATGAGGGAGATGGAGAAACCAAAACAACTTTAAAATTCCCAGTGTGAATGAAAAGATGACACACCCATTATATTTAAAGTACGTCAGTGCTCTGGAGGGTGTTATGTACAGGTGATAGAGAAACTGTGGCTCTGAGATCAAGAGAATCAGACAGCCAGGGATATAAATTAGGAAAATAATTTATGTACACATGACTTTGATACTAAGAGAAGGGATAAGAGGGCCAAGTTCCAAAACAAATGTGTGAAAAAGAAGAGAAGAGGAGCAGGTATTTAGCCTAATGGTTAAGATGCCTAAGTCCCACATCAGATAGCAGAGCTCTCATTTTCTGTCTCTCAAAAAATAGATTGGGGTAGGTGTTGCAGCACAGGGGGTTAAACCATCACTTGGGCCACCTATATCCCTTAACGGAGTCCATTTATAGTTCTGGCTATCCTGTTGCCTATCTAGCTTCCTATTAATGTGCCTGGGAAGGCACAGATGATGGCCCAAGTATGTGCATCCCTGTCGCTAACATGGGAGACCCATATGGAATTCCTGGCTCCTGTCTTTGGTCCAGTCCAACCCCAGGCTATTCCAAGCATTTGGAACATGAACCAGCAGACAGAAAAATCTCCTCTGTATTACTGCTCTGTCACTTTGCCTTTCAAATAAATAAACCTTTTAAAAACAAAAACAAAAACAAAAGCACTACACAGAAAAAGAGTGAGAAGTTGGTGCAGTGGTTAAGATGCCTGCATCCCACATCAGACTGCCTGGGTTTGAATCCAGTTCTGCTTCTGATTCCAACTTCCTGCTAAAGCAGTAGAGGGAGGCAGCTGTGATGGCTTACGTATTTGGGTCGCTGACACTCGTACTGGAGACCTGCACTGAGTTGCCACCTCCAGACCACACTGGCCCAAACCTGGCTCTTGCAGGCATCTGGGGTTTCAACTAGCACATAGAATACTTTTCTTTGTCTCCATCTCTCTGCCTTTCGAGTTAAATGAAAAATAAAATCATGTAACAAAAAAAGGGGTGGATGATGTGGCACAGCAGGTAAGCTGTCACTTGGGACACCCAAGTGTTGAAAAATTCCAATTACATCTCCACTTTTGATCTAGCTTCCTGCTAATGCAACAGGTGATGGTTGCCACCCACATGGAGACCACCCACGGAGTCCCTGACACCCATGTAGGAGACCTGGATGGAATTTCCAGTTCTTGGGTTCAGCCTATCCCAGCCCCAGCTATCACAGGCATTTTGGAAGTGAACTAGTATATGGAAGATCTCTCTCTCTGCCTTGCAAATAAATGAAAATTTAGACGAAACAGAAAAGAAAAAAAATAGAGGTTGTTATATCAAAAACAATCAAAAGATGGAATAGAAGTGGTTACAGGAAAAACAGAAAAATTCAGTATCATAAAAAAACCCAAAGACTGGGTGTTTGCCCCAGTGGTTAAGCCACTGGTTGAGAAAACCAGCATCCCTTGAGTGTTCGGGTTCAACACCACTTCCAAGCTCCTGAGTCCAGCTTCCTGCTAATGCAGATCATGGAGGACAGAAGCAACAGCTCAAGTAGTTAGGTTCCTGCCATCCCATATGGGAGACCTGGATTAGGTTCTTCTAGCTCTTGGCTATAACCCATAAGAGCCCCCAGGCTGTTGTAGGCATTTGAGAAATGAACTGTAGGGCAGGAGCTTGCACTCTGTCTGCTTTAGTGTGTGCGTGTTTCAAAGGAAATATATAAAAACAAAACAAAGCAAAACAAAACCTGCAAGAACATGAAATGTCCACTTTTCCTTGATCCACATATATAAGTATATCATTAAACCCTAATCAAGGTATCCATATTTTCCATAAACACTTCTCTAAAGATTATGACAATATGGACTGTATTCTCATACTTTATCCACATCCCCTATTATCTTAAGTATATGAGAAGTGTTTCATTAAATGTCTGTTGACTAAATCCAAAAGATAGGGGCTGGTACTGTGGTACAGCAGGTTAACGCTGGCATCCATATGGGCACCAATTCGAGACCTGGCTATTCCACTTGCAATCCAGCTCTCTGCTATGGCCTGGGAAAGCAGTAGAAGATGGCCAAAGTCCTTGGGCCCCTGCACCCATGTGGAAGACCCAGAAGAAGCTTCTGACTCCTGGCTTCAGATTGGTGCAGCTCTGGCCAATTGGGAAGTGAACCACTGGATGGAAGACGTCTCTCTATCTCTGCCTCTCCTCTTATTTATTTGAAAGAGTTACACAATCTTTAAAAAAAAAAAAAAAAAAGAAGTCCAGAGGTCTGATATACTAACCCAGTGTCACTAAAATGGCCTTAATCTCTGGAAACCTTCACACTTAAAAAAAAAAAATGCAAAAGATATAATAAAATGTAAAAAAGTCTTTATTTTCATGAATATTTGAGATAGATGTGAATATAAAAATAGGAATAAAGAATATAAAGTGTTATGTGGGAATCAGGCATCCTAACCAATAGGCTAAACACTCACTCTTTGACATAACATGGGAACTCCAACAGAGAAGGGTTGTCAAAATAGCACAGGTCCCTCTCCTGCACTCAAGTACAAGTAATCTAGAGAGGATTTAATGTATACAGAAGGAAATGCACAGGTAATATGCAAATATGTCATTTTACTTAAGAGACTTGAGCATCTGCAGATTCAGTTATCTATGGGAGTCTTAGAACTAATTTCCCCGAGATCGGCACTGTAGTACAGCAGGTTAAAGTGCTGGCATCCCATACGGGTGCCGGCTCAAGTCCTGGCTTCTCCACTTCCAATCCAGCTCCCTAATAATGTGCCTGGGAAAGCAGCAGAGGATGGCCCAATTCCTTGGGCCCCTGCACCCATGTGGGAGACTCGGAAGAGGCTCCTGGCTTTGGATCGGCTCAGCTCTGGCTGTTGAGGCTGTCTGGAGAATGAACCAGTGGACGGAAGACTTCTCTCTTTATCAGTCTCTGCCTCTCTTTGTAACCCTGCCTTTCAAATAAAGAAAAAATAAATCTTAAAAAAAAAAAAAAACTAATTTCCTATGGTGCCAAGGAATGCCTATATTTGAGAATGTGGAAATTCAGGTATTATTCATGAATGGCAAAAACTTTTTAGTTATTAAAATTAAAAGTAAGATGCTCTCTCAAACTCGTTCACAGAAATATTAATACAAACAAAGAAAACAGGTAACTGATCCAGGATTACGCCATTATTCTACCTTGTCACTTAGTGGTGGACGATTCATAGGACTAACTCCTTTTCGAAGTCCAGTTGCTTTTCTAGCTGCAAGTCCAGTGATAACTCCATAAGGACGTCTCTTTCCAGGCATTAATCTTCCTCTTCGGCTCAGGCTGGACTTACCAAAACCTGTGGGGGGGTGCAGGAAAAAGAAAAGTATCATGTTAGGAATGCATCTGGGACTATCACAAGATACTCTACTTCACAGGGGGGAGAATGGGAGCACTTTATTATTTTTTAACTTTTTATTATTTATTTATATTATTTTGAATTACATTTCAAAACACTTCATTTATTTGAAAGGCAGTTACAGAGACAGGGAAATACAGAGAGAAAATTAGATTTTCTATCTGCTGTTTCACTCCCCAAATGGCAGCAACAACAGGGGCTGGGCCAGGCTGAAGCCAGGAGTCTGGAACTCCAACCAAGTCTTTCGAGACAATGGTAGGGGGCTCATGTACCTGGGCCATCTTTTGCTGCCCTCCCAGGCACATCATCAGAGATCTGGTTGGGAAGTAGAGTAGCTGAGATTTGAACCCAGGGCCCATACCTGTTCCCAGTGTCGCAGGCAGCTTCTTAGCCCACTGCACCACAGCACCAGCCCTTAAATACTTTACTTTTTTTTTTTAATTAATTAATTTATCTGAAAGTCAGTTACACAGAGAGACAGGGAGAGGCAGAATGAGAGAGAGAGAGGTCTTCCATCCACTGGCCCACTCCCCAGTTGGCCACAACAGTAGCAGCTAAGTCAATCTGAAGCCAGGAGCCAGGAGCTTCTTCCAGGTCTCCCATGTGGGTACAGGGGCCCAAGGGCTTGGGCCATCTTCTACTGCTTTCCCAGGCCATAGCAGAGAGCAAGATCTGAAGTGGAGTAGTAGAGACTCAAACCGGCACCCACATGGGATGCCAGCATTGCAGGCGGCGGCCCCACACACTCCGCCACAGCACCGGCCCCATATATCGATGAAACTATAAAGGACTTGAGGAGTCTCACATGTTCCTTCTAGCCACCATCCCTTCCTTCAACATTACTTTCTCAACAAACAGGACTGTCTAGATTTTACCTATAAAATATGTTAGTCACTAACCATATGTGGTTATTGAGTGAACAGCCACACTGAAATATAACTAATTTTAATTGAGATGTTACAGATGAAATATAAAAAATTTTATTAATGACTTTTAATTGACTGTTTAATATTTTGGATACACTGGGTTAAATAAAATATATTACTACTATGTGGCTTGTACTGTATTTCTACTGGATAGTGCTGATCTAGAGCAGAATCACAATCTCATTTCCCATTTGCTTTCTACATTGCAACCTGGCTTCTTTACTTTCAGCCTTACTGTATTCAAATTGTTTTTGCTCAAGTTCCCAAAGTGTGACAATGGCCATGTCATATGCCTGAGATTGCTTTTCCATTATACATCTTACCTATTTAAGTATTTTTCTAATTATTAAGAAAATAAGCATCTTCTCTGCAGAAATCTTAGAAACATGTGAAATAAAAATAAAATAAAAATCAACCATCATTCCACCTCCTAAAAAGTATCACTAACTTTTTTTTTAAGATTTACTTAAGAGGCAGAGTTGCAGATAAAGAGAAAGACAGAGAGCAAGGTCTTTCATCTGCTGGTTCACACCCTAGATGGCTGCAACAGCCGGAGTGGGGCTGATCTGAAGGCAGGAGCCAGGATCCAGGAGCTTCCTTCAGGTCTCCCATCAGGTACAGGAGCCTAAACACTCGGACCACCTTCCACTGCCCTCCCAGGCCACAAACAGAGAGCTGGATTGGAAGAGGAGCAGCTGGGACACAAACTGGCACCCATTTAGGGTGCCGACACTATAGAGGCTTAGCCTATTGAGCTACAGCACTGGCCCCAATCACTAACATTCTTTCCAGCCTTTGATATGTATATATACATGTCAAAAGTTAATACTTTAAGTTTAAACAATTTTAAGCCACCCAAGAGACTACCACATATGATAACTGACAATTCTGTAAAGAAGTAAATGCTTTGGCCAGCGTCTGTGGTATAGCAGGTTAAGCTGCCACTTATAATGCTGTCATCCCATATAGGCACCAGTTCAAGTCCTGATGCTTCATTTCTGATCCAGCTCCCTACTAATGTACCTGGGAAAATAGTGGATGATAGCCAAATCCTTGGGCCTCTGCACCCATGTGAGAGACTTGGAAGAAGCTCCTGATTCCTGGCTTTGGCCTGGCCCACACCTGGCTGTTGAGGCAGTTTGCATAGTGAACCTCAGGATGGAAGATCTCTGTCTCTCCCTCTCTGCAATCTTTCAAATAAATAAATAAAATCTTTAAAAAATATAGTAGTAGTAAATGCTTGAAAGGCAACCTATCCAGCAATTCTTTTTATTTCTCTATGTACTCTTTTACAGCCTACATTAACACTATATAATATTATCCCATATTTTTGATTACATGACTCTTTAATGTACTGTGCTTCATCTAATCAACTTTTTACTGATCATTTTGGTTACTTCTAATGTTACTCTATTAAAATAACACTACAGTAATACCACAGATAACATTTAACATTTTTTAAACCGCTACTAGAGTATGCTTTTTTAATATTGATTTATTTATAGAAAGGCAGAGGAGAAGAAGGGAGGGAGGATGGATCTCCTATTCACTAGTTCACTCCCCAAATAGTTGATGACATTTTTCCACATACCTACGATTATTTCCTCAATATATGAATATCTAGAAGATGAAATACTAGGTGAAAGAATAAAAACATTCTCGGGCTGGTGCTCATCCCATATGAGCCTGTTTGAGTCTCCTCTGCTCTGCTTCCAATCCAGCTCTCTGCTAATGTGCCTGGGAAAACAGTAGAAGATGGCTTGAAGACTTGGTTCCTGGCACCCACCTGGGCAAAGTGGGATGGAGTTCCAGGCTCCTGGTTTCAGCCTGGCTCAGACCTGGCCACTGTGGCCATTTCAGAAGTGAACCAGCAGATGCAAGATCTCTGTGTCTGTCTGTCTCCTCCCGTCCCCCTCAACTCTTTCCAATAAAATACATTTTTTTTTAAAGAATACATTCCTGGGGCCGGTGCTGTGGCGCAGTGGGTTAACACCATGGCCTGAAGTGCTGGCATCCCATATGGGCACCAGTTCAAGACCCGGCTGCTCTACTTCCCATCCAGCTCTCTGCTATGGCCTGGGAAAGCAGAAGATGGCCCAAGTCCTTGGGCCCCTGCACCTGCGTGGGAGACCTTGAAGAAGCTCCTGGCTTTGGATCGTAGCAGCTCCAGCCGTTGCAGCCAATTGGGAAGTGAACCATCAGATGGAAGATCTCTCTCTGCCTCTCCTCCTCTCTCTGCATAACTCTGACTTTCAAATAAATAAATAAATCTTAAAAAAAAAAAAAAAGAAACATTCCTAGGGATTTTCAGCTATATTGCAAAAATTGCCTACATAATGACTTTTTCAATGACAATTCGGAGTATTATCACTCTTTCTTAACCTTATTACTCAATATTTGGGAAAAAAAGGTCCTATTTGGTAGTCTGATTGCTAATGAGAATAAATATTTTTCTATGAGTTTTCTGGTCTCCTGTATTCTTCTAGTCATGAACTGTAATGTTCACAAACAAGTTTTCTCTAGCTAATTTCTAATTCCCTTCAATGTTTTAACAGGGGAATTATATTACAGGACTACTTGTTTAACTTTTCAAGAACTGATGTCTCTACAGCAATGTTACCATTCAGGAACACAGCCTATCCTTCCCCTTATTGAAGTCTTCTTCACCAGTAAATTGACTCAGTAAATTTCTATTTTCCTTCTATAAGTCCATAATATATATTAAACTTCATACTAGATGTTTTGCACATTTTGCTGTCAATCACAGAAAAGATCCTGTTTCTAATAACTTTCACAGTTATTCCTAGCTTTACAGAAAGCTACTGAGTTTTTAACCCATTATGTCCCCCATATGGCATACTCATAGAATCTTTTTTTTTTTTTTTTTTTGACAGGCAGAGTGGATAGTGAGAGAGAGAGACAGAGAGAAAGGTCTTCCTTTGAAGTTGGTTCACCCTCCAATGGCCGCCGCGGCCGGCGCGCTGCGGCCGGCGCACTGCGCTGATCCGATGGCAGGAGCCAGGAGCCAGGTGCTTTTCCTGGTCTCCCATGGGGTGCAGGGCCCAAGCACCTGGGCCATCCTCCACTGCACTCCCTGGCCACAGCAGAGGGCTGGCCTGGAAGAGGGGCAACCGGGACAGAATCCGGCGCCCCGACCGGGACTAGAACCCGGTGTGCCGGCGCCGCTAGACGGAGGATTAGCCTAGTGAGCCGCGGCGCCGGCCTCATACTCATAGAATCTTAAATTGAGCAATAAATACACCATGGTATACTAGAAATAAATATTATGCTAACTTTGAAATAAATATTATATCATTGAAATATCAGCAGAATTGAAATTTTAGGGAGTTGGTGGTGTAGTGCAGGGGGTTAAGCTGCCTCATGTGACACCAGCATCCCATATCAGAGTGCTGGTTCAAGTCTTGGTTACTCCATTTCCAATCCAGCATCCTGCTTATACTCCTGGAAAGGCAGTGAAAGATGGCCCACATAATTGGTCTCCTGCCATAAGCCACATGATGGAGCGCCTGGCTCCTGATTTCAGCCTGACCCAGACCTGGATGTTGTGACCATTTGGGGAGTGAATCAGCAAATCAAAGATCTCTCTGTTTATCTGCCTTTAAAAAAGAAACTATAACAAAACAAAACTTGGGAATTACTGGGTTAATTAACACTTTTTAATCAGTTATCCCACTAAACTCCATTATTTCTTCTAATAGCTTATTTATTCTGCTTGGTGCTGTGCAGAGTACTTTAATTTGCATGAAAACCTAATAAAGTTGATGCTAGTATCTCAATTTTGCAGGTGAGTAAAGTGAGGCAAAGGAAAATGTCTGCCAATAGGCTACAATTAGAAAACAGCAGAGCCATGATCTAAGTCCAGGTGTGTGTGTGTGGCTCCAAAAACGTCTCCAAACTGCTAAATAAAAAATTAAAAGTAATAAAAGGCAGAATACAATCTGTAGTACATTTCCAAAGGGAAAAAACCAATTATTATAGAGAAAGCAGACACTA